AGGGGATTTTGTGAGTGTTCTTAACAGGTGGAAAATTTAAAATAAAAATCAATTCTTTAAATTTTCGATAAGGTTAATACCTTTTCTCTAGACAAACTGACAAACTGGTAAGAAATCAAAGTTCACTTTAGCTTTCTTTCAATATGCGATAAATGTGAATGTTTTGACTATACGGTTGGTGGACAACGGGATGGCAACTCCTATAAAAAGCAACTGTTATCATACACAATTAGTTTAGGGTATTCAGTTAAAGATATAAAAAATTAGTTTGTTAATAAGAATTATGAAGCGTAGCAAGATATAACCGACAATTTTTGCTCTCTTTTATAGAAACAGCTGAAGAGTTGTCTTCACATCCATGCAGACTCGTGAGGAAAACAGAACGATTTTAGTTTAAATTCAAGAAAATATTAATAAAAACTCTTTATTAAAATCGAATGTGCATTATCGGTAGTTGTCTTCATGCACTTTGCCAGTTCGATATCTGACCCGTTGCATATGTTCGTCTTCATGCACTTTGCCAGTTTGACATCTGACCCGTGGAATATATTCGTCTTCATGCACTTGGCCAGTTCGATATCTGATCCGTGGTATATATTCGTCTTCATGCACTTTGCCAATTCGATATCTGACCCGTGGCATAGCGATTAAACTCAAGCGAAGGTACGTTGCTAGAAAAAAAAAATGAATCTGAAAAATGCGCGTTGAATGGATAACCTAATTTTATGATGTGAATTCTCGATAATAGACAATAAGGGACCTTATAACACATTGTTAGAAATGTCATGGAGAGATTATGATTTACCTGCCATAAGACTAATTTTATGGTCCACACAATTCCAAAAGTGTTATGGCTCTATACAAAGTTTCGTAATCTTGTCAGTCTTATGAAACAGCGTGATGTAAAAGTGTCATTGTACTGTCTTCCTATTATGTCTAGTACATCGGATGACATCGCAGCTGCAAGCGTAGTGTCTGGTAAAGCAAATATTCTTTACTTTATTTGTTGTTGACATCACGATAACCCATCTATAGGGGCTATAGTTTCGTTGAACTAGACTATCGGTAGACTAAACACGAGAATCTCGTTGCATGTGGAATAGAGTTCAACGAAGAATACTGTATTACACGCAAAAATTAGGGTAATAAGCATGTATATACGAAGAGTGACCATTTTTTCTACATTGTCATTTTCACGGATATAAATAAACTGAAGATTTCCCGGTTAAAAAGCAGTCTGAAGTCCAAGTTTGATTGATGTTATGAATTGCCTGGCAACAACGACGCAGTATTACGAACTGATCTTACTAATTAGGAACATTACAAAGCAAAACTATGAATATTGAAAATTAAAAAGCAAAGTTAAATGAGTAAGTCACTGCAGAAATCCAAAAGCATAACTTAGAGTGATGCTTTTGGAGTTGTAACGATAAAAAAGCTACATGGACAGCTTACAATCAGGATTTCTCTGGTAAAATCAGGGAGAAGAGTAGTGGGTAAACTCAGGGAGAAGAGTGTGGGTAAACGCAGGGAGAAGAGTGTGGGTAAAATCAGGGAGAAGAGTGTGGGTAAAATCAGGGAGAAGAGTAGTGGGTAAAATCAGGGAGAAGAGTAGTGGGTAAAATCAGGGAGAAGAGTAGTGGGTAAAATCAGGGAGAAGAGTAGTGGGTAAACTCAGGGAGAAGAGTAGTGGGTAAACTCAGGGAGAAGAGTGTGGGTAAACTCAGGGAGAAGAGTAAACCAGGGAGAAGAGTGTGGGTAAAATCAGGGAGAAGAGTAGTGGGTAAAATCAGGGAGAAGAGTAGTGGGTAAACTCAGGGAGAAGAGTGTGGGTAAACTCAGGGAGAAGAGTAAACCAGGGAGAAGAGTGTGGGTAAAATCAGGGAGAAGAGTGTGGGTAAAATCAGGGAGAAGAGTAGTGGGTAAAATCAGGGAGAAGAGTAGTGGGTAAAATCAGGGAGAAGAGTGTGGGTAAACTCAGGGAGAAGAGTAAACCAGGGAGAAGAGTATGGGTAAAATCAGGGAGAAGAGTGGGTAAAATCAGGGAGAAGAGTGTGGGTAAAATCAGGGAGATCAGTTTTCAGAATCAGGGAGTCTGGGTAAAATCGGAGATCATTGTTCAGAATCCGGGAGTGTGGGTATCAATCAGGGAGATCAATGTTCACAATCCGAGCCATTGGTTCCATATCAGATGAGCAGAATGAACAATCCGGAGGATTGAGTAGAAATCGGGAAGATTAGCGTATCGATAATTTTTATCATAAATTTAAGAGCGAAGTACACAATGTACCGAAACTAAGTAAATTAAGTACAATGAATAAAAGTTCCTCAACTTTAATAATTTTTTTAATGTTGCTTTCTTATTCCTCAGCTTTATTAATTTTCTTATGCTACTTTCTTAATCTCACAAAAATAATATAAAACCTTCTCATGAATCAGTACTTCAAACACCTTTGACACACTGGTACCTCAAACATTCAAACTTATATTTTTCAAAGTGTGGCGTCTTTCAGTCTCGTAGTGAAGCTCTTTTTGCAGTAAAACACAAATCATTTGACGGTCTGATTTTAATATATTCACAATTGGTATTCATTTTAAACGATATAAATGATTACTGTTTTTCCACGGTGGTCTGTCTGAATCTTCGTCACCATGCTGAAACAGTGCTCGGGATTCTGGTAACCAATGGCCTTTAGGGTCTGGTCATGAAACGAAAACTTAACTATCATCTTTGCAGTAAAAAGGACATCACACTTCTGAAGAAGCAGCTCAGCTGTGTTGGAGTAATGTCGTCTGGGTTACCATCATTTGCTTTATTTTAGGCACATAGTATAACGATTTCTCATTTGACTTATGGTGCGTACTTTTTAAGATCCCCCCTGCCCCAGGAATGTTGAAATGTGTCGCAAATGGTGCAGTAACAAAGCGTTCTTTCTCTGTGCTAGTTTCACACATTTAAATTCATCTAACAAAGTACTGTTGAACTTGCAAACATACTTTATATGGTACCAAATTTATATTTCTAAATAGATCAAGAAGTTTGATACATTGCCTGCAAGCTGTTACACACGACACTGTTACACATGACACTGTTACACATGACCCTGTTACACAACGCTGTTACACATGACTTTTTTTTATACAAGACACTGTTACACATGTCACATTACTCAATACTGAAATATTCATGAGCAAAACAACTTGCATGTGTATAATAAATTTAGTTTAAGCTGGAATACCTACGCTTGGCAGACATTGCTTTAGCAAGAAATACATATATTTGGCTATTTTTTTTTATTTTCAGGACATTTTGTCGGTAAATCTGTATATCAAACGACAGGGTCTAAAATCAAAAGACAATCCGGGAGACCTATCAAGTATGTAAATTCTGTACCTGCTAGGAAATCAGGAGAAGAAAAAAAAAAACATACACTAAAACCTTTACATTCTGCTGTTCTTTTTATTATATATTATTTAGATAAACACAATAAATTAAAATACACTTTTTGTATTACTGTGGGTCATACGTTTGCAAAATAATTTTAACGTCTTATTGGAAAGTCATACTTGTACATCTACAGATTTTTAAATTAGTTGCAGCCTGTGTAAATGTATAACAGTGATATCTTCTGGACGTTGTTTTACAGTTATAAAATTAACATCAATGTATGTCTCACTCACATGTCTTAATTTTGAAAGTAGAAAGTCTATGTTGTGTACAGTTTGGAAATAAAATTAGTAATTTCCAAACTGATTGAACGTACAGCTGTTAAGGATTATAATAAGTGTGATTTCAATTGTAAACTTCCATGACTATTAATTTATACATTTAGAAAAAAACATAGATAACGAGATTGTGGTTGGTTGTTAAGAACGGGAGAGCGAAAAATGTGACGATATTAAATTTATAACGTTTTTTTTAGATCTGCGTAAGTGACAAAATGCACAAGCAATGTTAAAATGCACGAAATATCATGCCGAAGAATATGTCAGAATCAACAGACGCCTTTCGGTTTTATCTGATTGACGTCATCAGTATTCGGCAAATATATCGTGCATTAAAAACATTGATAGCACAAATATTTATACGGAGGATATTCACAGAATTATTTGGCATTTTTTTCTTCTATTCATTGATATTAGATGATCAAAATTTGGATACATAATTATAAATGATAAAATGATTGATATGACAAAACAAAGATAGAAAAAAGGAAAACTAATGTGAAAAATACAAAAAGAATGATGATAAACAGATTTCATTGCTCGAGCAAATTCGACACATTTTTCTTTAGCTTTCTTTCATCAAATGGATATATATATATATATATATATATATATATATATATATATATATATATATATATATATATATATATATATATATATATATATATATATGAGTGATCATGAGACAACAGTTTAAGAATGCATGTGACGGACGTGTGCATTTAATTGTCAGTATCACCAGAGACCTTTCGGTTTTATCTGAGTGACGTCATCAAAAAATCAACGTCTGCCACGTGCATTGTAATATCACTGCTGGCAAATAAGTCGTCTTTAACCCATTTGATCAAATTTTACACAGCAACATAATTGTGTTTTTACGCAAAAAGGACATTCAGGTTGAGTATGTAATGACATGTCGTGATAGACATGTGTTTTGATTAATTTGATTATAAGACACTTTATCACTGAAACATCAGTATGTCAAAAGCTGGGATTCCAAGTCGTTACAAATGTCTAAATGGTTTTTAATTGGTATCATCATTCAAGCATATTAGGCATATATATGTTGTCATTCAAAGAAAACTTGACTGGCCGATATTTGTATTTATTAATCGAATGGTCATAAATTTGCAAATGCTCTTCCTTACTTGAACCTATTTGATTTTTTTGTTGGTTTTAGCGTCACTTTTAACACAACATTGGCTATATTATGTCAAGGAAATGGGAGTCAAGTGTCTTCCTAAGAACACTATGAGGCAGCCGAATGGAGCTGGCTTAGGCAGGTAAAGAACCCGCGACTTTGGATTACGACTCCAACGCTCTACAAACTGAGCCACCGCAGCTCAGCCAGTTTAATCTGATCTAAGTGTTGCTGTTCATTGTCAGGAACGTGGCGTAGACATTGGTCATTGTCACACAGAATTTCTATCAGTTCTCGTCTGTCAGTGTCAGGCTTCACTTGTCAATGCGGGTCAACTTCATGATGAATCTGTTCGACACTGTCCGAAATGTGACACACTATTTGGTCATGATCAGAGTCAGTTGGTGTTTCCTTCTATCTGTGGCTGTCATTGTCATGCTGCACCACTTTTGAGTCAAGAAGAATCTGTCTGGCATTGTCAGAAGTGTGATAAGGCCGATGTTTATTGTCACTGGCGATTGGTGCTTCCATCGGCATGTGTTTGTCACTGTCAGGCAGCACCAGATCAAAGTCATGATGAGTCCGACTGGCACTGTCAGGCCTGGAATATAGAGTCTGGTCATTGTCACTGCAGATTGGAATTACCATCGACGTGTCTCTGTCATTGTCAAATTGCACCAGATCAAAGTCATGCTGAACCTGACTGACATTGTCAGGTTTGGGACAAAGACTTTGATCATTGTCACTGTAGACTGTAATTACCATCGACATGTTCATGTCACTGTCAGGCAGCACCAGATCAAAGTCATGATGAGTCCGTCTGGCACTGTCAGGCCTGGGTTATAGAGTCTGGTCATTGTCATTGTAGATTGGAATTACTATCGACGTGTTCCTGTCATTGTCATGTTGCACCAGACCAAAGTCATGCTGAATCTGACTGACACTGTCAGGATTGCGATAGAGAGTTTGGTCAATTTCAATGAAGACTAGAATTACCATCGACGTGTTTCTGTCATTGTCACGTTGCACCAGATCATATTCATGATGAGTCTGTCTGGCACTGTCAGGACTGGGATACAGAGTTTGGTCACTGTCACTGAAGACTGGAAATACCATCGACGTGTTTCTGTCATTTTCAGGTTTCAGCAGATCAAAGTGATGAAGAGTCCGTCTGGGACTGTCAAGATTGTGATAGAGAATTTGGTCATTGTCACTGTCAATTGGAATTACCATCGACGTGTCTCTGTCTTTGTCAAGTTGCACCAGATCAAAGTCATGATGCGTCCGTTTGGGACTGTCAGGATTGGGATAGAGAGTTTGGTCATTGTCACTGAAGACTGGAATTACCATCAACGTGTTTCTGTCATTGTCACGTTACATCAGATCAAAGTCATGATGAGTCTGTCTGGCACTGTCAGGCCTGGGATATAGAGTCTGGTCATTGTCATTGTAGATTGGAATTACCATCGACGTGTTCCTGTCATTGTCAAGTTGCACCAGATCAAAGTCATGCTGAACCTGACTGACACTGTCAGGGTTGGGACAAAGACTTTGGTCAGTTTCACTGTAGACTGTAATTACCATCGACGTGTTCATGTCATTGTCAAATTGCACCAGATCAAAGTCATGATGAGTCTGTCTGACACTGTCAGGATTGCGATAGAGAGTTTGGTCAATTTCAATGAAGACTAGAATTACCATCGACGTGTTTCTGTCATTGTCACGTTGCACCAGATCATATTCATGATGAGTCTGTCTGGCACTGTCAGGACTGGGATACAGAGTTTGGTCATTGTCACTGAAGACTGGAAATACCATCGACGTGTTTCTGTCATTTTCAGGTTTCAGCAGATCAAAATGATGAAGAGTCCGTCTGGGACTGTCAAGATTGTGATAGAGAATTTGGTCATTGTCACTGTCAATTAGAATTACCATCGACGTGTCTCTGTCATTGTCAAGTTGCACCAGATCAAAGTCATGATGAGTCCGTTTGGGACTGTCAGGATTGGGATAGAGAGTTTGGTCATTGTCACTGAAGACTGGAATTACCATCAACGTGTTTCTGTCATTGTCACGTTGCACCAGATCAAAGTCATGATGAGTCTGTCTGGCACTGTCAGGATTGGGACAAAGACTTTGGTCATTGTCACTGAAGACTAGAATTACCATCGGTGTGTCTCTGTCATTGTCAAGTTGCACCAGATCAGTGACAAGATGAATCTGATTGACACTGTCAGGAAAGGTACACAGACTTTGGTCATTTTCACTGTAGATTGGAATTACCATCGACGTGTTTCTGTCATTGTCATGTTGCATCCGATCAGAGTCAAGATGAATCTTTTTGGCACTGTCAAGATTGAGTCTCGTACGTGGGTCATTTTCATTCTGTGCCTTCATCTGTCAGTGTGCGTCACTGTCAGGAATCAGTGGACACAGGTCACTGTCATGACTGTGAACCAGTTGAATCAGTCTGTCACTGTCAAGTTGACACATCTGAAGGTCACTGTCAATTTGATACACCCTTCGTCTCTACCTGACGTCACTCTCAGCTGGCGGAAGACGTCATGGGTCACTGTCAAGATGTCTTGCCTTCCGATGTTTGTCACGAGCAATGGACAGTGGGCAATGTAATGTCAGAAGTTGGTGGTCACTGTCAGGTCTGATTTGTGCCACCCTCAGGCCGTTGTCACCGTCAACTTGTCATATTACGACAAGGAGATAACGTCGGCACTGTGGTGACTAAAGTTCTTTCTCAGGACTGACAGACGCAGCCATCTATCACGACTGGTGTCAAGTCCTGTCACGAGCAAGATCTGATAGTTAGATGTTTTGCAGGATTGAAATCAACATCTATAGATTCACAAGATCAATTAGTATCGACTAGAATATCATTTGGGCACAATCATCTATTATCGCTATGTACACCACTTTTCAATCACTGTCTCTTCAAAAGATTTTTTACAAACTTTTTATGACGGGTGGCATATTTGAAGCCATTTCTGTACATTATCTTACATAAAACATTATTTCGTCTTCATTTTGAGATCCTGTTTGTCAAAACTTCTTGGTCGTATGGATTTTTCTTGAACTGAGACTGAACATCACTTCTGGCATTATCAAGACTTTGACGGTGGTTGTCGTGGTGATGAACTTTTCTAACCCTGCGTCGTTGACGGCGAGGCGTTCTGGGATCGGGGTCATGTAGTCTACAGTCACACGTATTCTCCAGATATGTATCGCTGATAGCATTTGTTGTGTCGTTGTAATAGAACAGGCTGCGTGGATTACGCACGTGGAAGGTTAGGTATCCACATCTAACAATAGAAGATAAAGAAATCATGACAGATAATTGCTGCCTCGAGTACGAGTGTATGAACTAAATTACCAGCAATAACATTATAGTCTTCTAACTCTCTACTTGCAAAATCTTCGGTAACGAATAAAGTTTGATAGAACTTCAATGAAACATTTTCTAAATCAAGAAGTACATTTCACTCTGTTTTCATGGGTCGAGTTAAATCTATTTTTGTGCAAGCGAAACATGCTCACAACACAAACCTATACAGCGATTTTTATGCTATGCTTAGCAACGTTAAAGATCGGAAGCACAAACCTCTTCCAATTGTTTTAATGCCAAAATTACTCCTACCCCTTTCATAAAATCTTGACATTAGTAAAGTCACTATGCCATCTGCCCCCAAAAAAAACAATCGGTTAGGAACAATTCAGTCTCAATCCCAAAGCAATAAAAAGATGGTTAAGTCACTCATTTTCTCAATATTAGAGTTCATAATAACATTGTTAAAAATAAAATAAAATAAAATGAATAATGATATACGGAATTCCTTTTTGTTGGAAAGAAATTCCTTAGAAATTGTGTAAGAATGCGAAATGTGCAAGAGAAGTGGGTTGATCACGATGATACATGGGCCTAGACTTAGGGAGCTGTAATACAGCAAGCGAAATCGAAATCACTTCTAGGTCCTTTAAAGTGCTTGAATTGTATAATCTTTATACGAACATACACGTTTGCTTTGAACAGTAGTGTTGAATACGTCGAATGGTATTGAGTTTGTGGAATGGTACCGAGTAAGTAAAAAATGGTATTGAGTTCATGGAATGGTACTGAGTACATGGAATGGTATTCAGTTCGTGGAATGGTATTCAGTTCGTGGAATGGTATCGAGTACGTGGAATGGTATTCAGTTCGTGGAATGGTACTGAGTACATGGAATGGTATTCAGTTCGTGGAATGGTATCGAGTACGTGGAATGGTATTCAGTTCGTGGAATGGTACTGAGTACATGGAATGGTATTCAGTTCGTGGAATGGTATCGAGTACATGGAATGGTATTCAGTTCGTGGAATGGTATCGAGTACGTGGAATGGTACTGAGTTCGTGGAATATTAGCGAGTTCGTGGAGTACTCTGTCTACACAATAAAAAGTAATATGAATTTGACAATACACATCTGCAGCTTACTTATCGTAAACCAAGATATCGTCTTTGCCTCCGTCGAGAAGTGTCCATATATTGGAAGACTCAGAGTCCTGGTACACGGGGAAGTTCACCAGTCTGGCTAGGGACGCACGTCTTTTTTGAGAATGCCTATCTTTGGAATTGATGATAATGAATTTAATGTCGTTGATGCCATTTTGTTTCAGAGACTGGCGATAACTCTCAAGGCTGCAAAACATACAATATTCGCATGCTTTATAATCGTACTGTAACTGCCAATATAGAAGTCAGAACATGTAATGGAACGAGTTTCGACAAGCTGCACATATGAAATTTTTCTTCCGCAATATGGTTTAATATGCCCCAATGAAAACAGGTCCAAAATTATCATCTCTCCATCATAACACATTGCTCAAAGTTTTAAGGTAAACATTACAGCTTGAATGAAACAGCAATTTAATGTAACTAATGCTATTAACTAGGATAAATTGAAAATTAAATTTCAGCATTATTATTCTACTCTGAAGTTACAATATTAGTCACTTTGTGAAAGATCTAAGAAACTTAAACTACTTGCGGAATAAGAACAATGAATCTCTGTATTATGTGTCTATTTTTCACAATTAACATGTAATATTTTTAAAACCGTCTTGCATTTATGATTTAAACTGTTCTTAATGGCCCTGAAGAGTTATACAACATTCAGTTGTTATTGATTTTTGTCTGTTAAGAGGCCCTGAATATGGCCTA